AAGAGGAATTTTTCTGTTTAAAATTAATCACTACAGGAAAAAAAGAATAATAGGCTTCCATTTCTGTAGCATTGGCTGTGCTGGTATGTTGCCAGTACCACTTTGAGTACCTGGGAAAGCCAAGGGAGACACAACACTGAGCTGCCTTACAGCCTTTCAAAAAAAATAGGGAAAACTAAATATAACTGAGTAGATGTAAGAGCACCTTTGAAGGCACTAGAAGGTTTAAGCTATTTAAATCCTCAAAGATGTTTTCAACCCACACAATTCCTTTAATCATTATTCTGAAAATCATGCATTTGATTCCTGTTTGAAAACAGTTTGCTTCATTCTTTCAGTAGCATGGTCTGGAAAAATGCCTTTGGCTCATCTTTATTATATTGTAATATACCTCCAGATATATATACGCACTTCCTGCCATGACCTAAGCCTACAGATTCTGCCTGAGTTCCTGAGACCGTATCCTACCATCATACCTCTGAGAGAATACTCTCACACAGTTGCAAATGATCACACTGCCTCCCTTCACACTGCCCTTCTGCTAAGACACGATTCCTGATTGCATGCACACTCCTTTTCAGGGCAAAGGCAAAAGAATTCATGTTTAGGTTCTATGTATCCCTTTCAGAGATAATGATGCATCATTTCTACGTTTTATTTTGTCCTGTCGTGGGATGAAATGCACAGAAAGTCAATTTCTGTAGCTCAGCTCTGAGCAGTAATTTCTGCCTTGAAAGGCAGTAATACCTTAAAATGTCACCTTTGCCAGCTGTAGCAATGGGGACACACTTTTGGTACACATGCAAAAAAGACCATGCTTTGTGCTCTGATGTTCACCTTTCCTGTCTATGTTCCCTCACCACTGGTCACTGTAATTTAGAGTTTCCAGCACAGTTTTCAGGAAGCTTTTTTCAAATCACTTACTGAACTCAGAAAAACGATGCGGCTCAATGAGGCTTAAAACTACACCTATTCATCTCTTGCACAAAGGAGACAGAGGAACCTCAAAGCACTGCAGAAGTTGCCTGTTAAGTGATACTACCTTACACAGACCTGTAGTGCAAGAGTCGACATAACCCCTGGAACCAAGCACAGAACACAGACAGAAGGTGTAGAGATATTTGCCCATCTCCTAAGATACGACTGAATTCTCCCCCGTCATAGAAGCGTAGGAAGAAAGTGGTACTGTATTTAGACCAAGCAGCTGAACAGCTGAAACTGATCTTTTTGCTGTGCCTAACCAAGTTTCCAAAAGTTTTGCAGCATTTAAATAAAATACTACATAACTGATGCAAGCCAATAAAATAACACTGCTTTTTGATAAGATGCATTGGAACAACTCAGTGAAAGCCAGAGACAGCCCATTTCCAGATACCCCTCAAATGAGTCGGGGGACCTGGAAAGAACCAGCAAACAGCTGTTGGGGCTTTGCTGTAGACTGGAGACAGAATTTTTATTAACCTTCATCTGTAGCTCCCCGTAAGTGGACTCCCACTTTACGGAGATTAATCGCCTCCAAAGCAAAACGTACAGTTTTAGTGCTCAAGGTGAAGGAGAAAGCTGAGGCGTTGTTTCCAGACACAGCGGGAACTGTGATTCCGCAGAGGCTGGGGCAAAAACTGGCCTCTTGGAGGAGAGAGAGCTCATGTTGCCTCCTGAACTGGGAACACAGCAGAAGCCATGGGCTACAAACCCCAGTCCCTCACAGGGGCAAGACCCAGCCTCTGTTGGATCAGGAGCTCTCCTTGAACTCTCAGTTCAGATGGAGTCGGCAGGTACTGGCAGGGGTCTCTCACAGAAGCGAGATGCTGTCCCTGAGATAGGTCAAGCCCCTCTGAGGGGGCTGAAAGATATTGCCACACAGAAAGCAAAACCTATGTTCCCTGAGAGATGCCCCTGCTTTTTCTTCTGCCGTCAGCTGGCTCACACCCCTCAGCTTGCACCCCGTCCCTGACAGGTGAGAAAACTCAGAGGTCAGCCAGGGATGTTGTGACCCATAACCAGACTCAGATCTGGGGCACCCATCCTCAGGGACTCCAAAGTCCTGCAGCCTCGTCTGTACTCAGCAGAGCTTGCTTTTGCCCTGTAGCAGGATTGAGAAGGCAAATCATGGCTCCTGACTTGCTCAGTGGGGAAGCCAAGTGGAGGATCCTCTGACTTAGCCAGAGGGAAGCCTTGACTCCCTAAAAGCATATTTTCATCTTTTTTGCTGAGCTGGAGGCTCTAATCCAAGAGCCCAGGCTTGTCAGAGAAGTGATTGGCAGCCACCTGTTGCTGGGAACAGCCAGGGCTCTGCAACCCCCTTGCTCTGTAGCACTTTGGACACCAGCAGTTCTCTGACACATACTGAAGGCCTTCTGAAAGGGATTGCCATGGATGACAGGAAACAGCTTGGTTACATCCAAAATAAAAAAGGAGAACACCCCCTTTCTTATTCTGAGCAGTGCAAAATCCAGCCTTCAGCCATGTGTGTCAGGCCGCAGGGAACTGTTCTTCTCATGAGAATAGGGAGGTAGAAGCTCTCCACCACAGTCTAGAGGACACCAGGAAAAGCAAATGCTACATCTGTAAAGATAACTCGCCTTTATGGTGCGTGCCCAGCTGACAAATGCCTTTGCTGTAGATAGCAGCACATTCTAGGTGCAAATGAACATTTTAGATCACTGTAAATGTACAAATCCTGAACCACCCAGTCCTCCAAAGCTGTGCACCTGGAACCACTCTGAGCCTCTCCCTTGTCAGGTTCTTCCAAGTAAGACAAGACATTTATTTACCCCTTTATGTCCCTGTAAATTGTGTCTGTGGAACCAAAATATTTTCTTCGTCTCCTGCGCTACTGCAAGGAGACTAAAGGTATGAAAGCTGATACCTTGCAGCTTAGTAACTGCACCCCTTCTCTTCTTTTGTACTAAATGAGAATTAACAGTTTCCAGACATGCAGCTTCGTGTAAGAAAGCATTATACAGAGAGAAGCAGCCTGAAGAAAACAGTCTCAGCTTTAAATGACTTTGGTAGCAAGGCCAGAACAGGAAGCAGGGCCTCGTAATACCCAATAGAGTATCCTATCCCTAACTACTAGAACTGGGTCTACCACGCACAGAAACCTTGGTGATGGTTAATGACACAGAGAAAAAATGCTAGCAGGTTTGGAAGCAAACATCCCAGTCTTACATGAGGAGGGTTCCAGTGTCACACTGAAAGAGCGTTTCTTGAACTCATTCTTCATGACTCCTGTATAAAACACTATGTTTCCTGAAAAGTATGTAGTAGCACTGTAATTGTTGTGGCTTTTGTTCTTGAAAGTTATAGTGACTTTAAAGTCACTGCCAAGGATTGCCTTTTGCACTTGGAAGTCCATGTCGACATCCGTCTGTGGATGATACACAGTATCTTGGATAATTTGCTTTTTAACACCATACATCACAGCAGTCTCAAGAGCCAGTCTCTCCTCGTCTGAGCCTAGAAATTAATAAAAATCATATTAAAAGAGGAACAAGAGTACTGCACTAGCCCAGTTATCAGTCACAAGGGTGCACTTTCCAGTGCACTACCACAAGGTAGTTGAAATGAGCAGATGAGGATAGTGATGTTTCCTGTGATAAAGTTAAGCATTAGGAGAATTTCACAACTTCCAAGTGAGCTGCTGTTAAAGGTCCAAGCCATATCAGGTAAACTGACATAGCTTCACCGACGTTAATGGAGCTACAGTGATTTATTCTGTGCATCTCAGGCCTAAGTAAGAAATGTCTAAACAGCTGTATAGAAAGCCTGTAGCCATTTTGAATGCTTCAAGTTACTCCATGACTACCCTTTGTTTCCACTATAGTTCATTCAGTCTGAAGCACTTCTGCGTAGCAAACAAAACTTGTGTTCTTATCCATGAATCTGCAGTGCTTTTGAGGTGGAGTCAGAAATAGAGAGTTTCAGAAGGCACTTTGGAAGCTTTCCGTGCAGCTCCTTCAGTGCCAGGAGTCTGTAAATACACAGTGTAGGATTTGTTTGCAGTAAATCTACCTCAGAGAGGTCTACACACCACTTTGGGTTACCTTCTTGGAACTTGTACTCCTCAGTGATGTCCATCATTCCATCACCCCCAATTTCCTTGGTCACAATCAACTTCCCAACATGGGTCATGTCAATTTTTTCAATCAGTTGGGCTCCATTTTTTTCCCTTCTTGAGTAAACAATATCACTATTCACCTGTAAAATTAAATAGAAAAGGACTGAGTTAAGAGAGTGGAAGGAAAGTCAGCTTATTTCCTTTCAAAACAATGATATCTTGACTCAAAGTCTCATTAATTCCTCCCATTGAAATCCATGTTTAAAATTAGGCATAGGCTAAAATGAGAACTACATACACTTTTGCTATTTACAACTTCAGAACACCAGCCAGTGTAAACCTGGGTAGGCAAGAGAAATATTGTTCAGACTTGGGGAGAATGTTTATACATTCCTGCACCAAAGAGCTTCATGTCATACAGAGGGGAATGCTTCATAGATTAAGTTTGTGTCTCTTCTGTCCCAAGCTATGTACAATTCATTTGGAGAGAGACTTGATCCACACCTGCTGCAGTTCTGCGTGTACCAGCTCTGGTGGTGCAAGAGTTTAAGCTGCCAATCAAACAGCTCACGTCAGGGCTCCCTGACCCACTGCAGCCAAAATGAATGTGATGAGCAAAGATCTATTTAAAATCACCCTTCCATTTTAACGGAAACAAGCAAGGTACCTCATGTGATCAGCTTAGCTGGCCAGCCTGAGAAGGAAGTAATAGCCAACAAGGGGCAAAACTGAGCAGCTACAGGTAGAGACTCTACTGCCAGCATAGCTGAAATCTGGGAAGGATATACAGTCTGAAGCTTGATCGGAGGCAGAACGGCTTTTCTTACTTATTACACTGATGAGCAGAGACTAGAGGAATCTCCGTCACACCTACTGGCCTGCACATCACAATATGATTATGAGATTTGTTTCTGACATAGTGTATACAGGAAAAAACATTGCAATCCATAAATTGCAGTGGAGCCCTAAAATTTTTCTTTTGTCTCATCTATATTCCTACTGATGTCATTCAATACACTAAAATTTTTCAGGCATGTACCTCAGCAAATACAAAAGGAGCATCAAACTGGAAGCAAACGTGACCATGTTTAATGGCTTGAACTGAAGCTGGACCACATCTGTACATACCTGTGCGGAGAAGAGAGGAGAAGCAAGAGAAAGAGTAATTTTTGTAATTAAAAAATATATCAAAATGTTATACTTTCTCACAGAAAGAAACAAATCTTGGGTTTTGGTGAGCCCTTTTAATAGCTTATAGGAACTCTTGACCAAGAAGTTAAAAGCTTTATTTCCATTGACAGCCCGCCAAACCACACAGCCTCAAGTCTGAAGCTACCTAACAGTTTGGTAATTAACGATGCTGCAAAGTCTGGTGTAAGCCTCAAGTGCTTGATAGGCAGTTAAAGCTGGGTTTAGTTAAAGCTGATCATTTTGGGAGGGCTCCTTTAGACCATGGACGTAGAAACATCTATCTTCCTGCAAATCTGCTAAAACCATCTTTAAGAACTGGAAAACTAAAGACTGGGAAGAAACAGCATGGATTTTCACTTTTTCTCTTTTGTCTAGAGCCTGCCCAGGCAGTTTAACGAGGGCTCCAAAAATTGGCTGACATATAACGGAGGACAAATCCTTTCATCAGGCTCCTCTACAGGTTCTCTAAAATATGTGCAAGCCATCTTTTGGCAAGGGCAGTACATCTCTTCTGCACTCAACAGGGCTCGCCTCTTTCAGAATTTTGTGCTCATGCCTCATCATCAATGGTAAAATAAGGACAGATCTATTTTATATCTCAGAACAACTCAGGAGAAGATCTTACACACAGGTCAATGTGCTTATGTGGTGCAAGAGGTTGTCACAGGCCAGGTGCTCGCCCTGGCTCACCTATTATCAACTCATCATTTGCCACAAAGAACCAAAGCATTGGAAAGAGAGATAAGGAGCATTAAGCATTGTTACCGTCACTTGTTTCTTGGGGTGTCCCATCAACAACCTGCCATCCTCCAAAACCAACAGGAAGATCAGGTCTGGACATCCAAGCTTCATTCCAACAATGATAGTTCCTTATCAGGAGATGAGAATTAAATTACTAGAAAGTAGCATAAAAACTAAAACAAACCTGTGTCTTTATGTACCGCTATTGCTTCAATAACCATATTTGCCATTTTAGGGGTGAAGAAGTCTCCTCTTTGTAAAGAATAGACTTTCAGATCTAACATTTGGTTTCTGTTAAAACCTGAAGGCCTAAATCCTTCACTGTAGTTCCTTGATTGCAAACTGAAGAAGCGTTATGATTCTTCTACTGTGTGATGAAGCAAATGTCCCTGAGAAGAGCTTCCAGTGCTTGGAAATTGCTGGGGTACATGAAAAGACACAAAATCCCTTTTAAGCCAGTCATGTCCCTAAAAGGGGCATGTGGTGAGAGGGCCGCAGTCTTTTCTAACAGTGAAAGACACCTCCAACTCGATGTGCCCACTAAGGCAAGTTTTGAGTCTTTTGCAAGTCATTGAAGATTAGTCTGCTTCATACCTTGTACAACTGAAGCTCTGGCACTTTTGGTATCTCTGTTTTCATGTCTCAAAACAAACACGTTTAGCTGGTTTCTATTAAAAGAGGCAACTGCTGGGTCAACGGCTGTCCTTGGGGCCCAGAACAGTATGCTGAAAGATGGATTTATCTGAGTGGTTAACCTATGCACTCAGGCTTGCAATGCCTTCACCTGGCTAGATGCTCAGGAAAAAGAAAAAAAAACACTTCATTTACAATCTGCCCAGAATGTTTCAGAGCATTTCTGAGATGAGCAGAAAGGATGGATCTTGTAACTTTCTTCTTGCAATGTTATCTGCGCTCAAGAGAGAGCATAAACAAGGAAGAAAGACCATCTGGAAAGAGGGTCTTGCAGCAAAGCCAGCAAAGTGTTTGAATTTCATTACTGCAAAAAAGAAAAGAAGGAAGGAGTAGAGAAAAGGGCAATTTTGCTTGCAAATTTCATATATCCTGCAGCAGATATGAATAAAATTACATCTGTGTAGCCACTGATACAGCCCTTAGTACATGCAATGATATTAGCAGCCAAAATGGGGATTGTTAAACTCTGACCATTTCATTAATAATAGGTGAAAACCAGTCATGGAGCAGATTCAGAAGGATCTGAGGCTTGTCTAACAAGACATTTCAAAGTGGAAATGAAAGCCTGGATCAGGGAAAAACTTGTCAGTTAGGAGAGTTAATGAAGCAGCACTACAGAAAAGGAATTATTCAAGGAAAATGACGCACTTGGAGAATTTTTTATGCTATTGAGAGTAGTCAGTGCTGAATCATGCTTGCAAAGCTTTGCTGAGGGCTACCAAAGAACAGGGACGCACTTTATGGCAGGTGGGTTTTTGAAAGCTGTTATGCCGACATGTGAGAGAGACAATCCCTGCCCTGAAGCGTTCACTGGCTCACTTTGAATCAAACTCAGATGTGTCATTGGCTTTGTATCCTGCAGAAGAGCAACCTGAAGAGCAGGCAGGAGGAAAGGATGATAAAATTAAGGAGTGATAACAATAGCAAAAATGACAGCTCTGCTTCAATCCTGTAATTAGATAATGCAATATCTTATTTTTCTATATTCACTCTGAGGGACAGTGCCTTTCTCCCTGGTTTACATTTGTACAATGTTGGGTGCAATGGGACGGGTATTTCTCTAGATCTGCTGCCATGCAAATAATAAATATTCCTAATGGATAGAGAAATATTGGATGTGAATGGACAGAAAGATATAGCTTGTTCTAGGTGGGCTTCAGGGAGAGGAGAAGGAGAGGAACATTTACCTCTCCAAAATGTAGCAAAAACTTCTCTCTGACAGAAGTCAGCGCAGCTGAGGTCGTGGCACCGTAGCCATAACTTGTTAAACTGAATTGTAGTTCTTGTATTCTATAGCAAGCCTGAGACATTAAGGAAAGCAAGAATGGCTATACCGATCAATGTAGTGACCATTAAATATTTACAGAGATAATTACGAATAGACTAAACAAAGTGATGGGGAAATTAATAAAAGATGACCAGGTGGGGTTTATGCCTGGAAGACAATTTAAGAAGACTACTTCATATTGCTTACGAGACAGGCAGATGCTGGAACCAGCTGCTGCCCTTTCATTAGCTAACGAGCTCAGGCATTGGGATTGAGAGAGACACTGATGATAGCATTAGGAGAAATGTGAGTTGGAAGTGAATGGGAGGGCACAGGGCTCAGAAGGGCTCGCTCTGCAGGTTTGGATGTGGATGAATCCACTTGGGGCCTGCTGATTTCAAGCAAGTTTCTGCCGAGGTACCTATGTTGGTCCGTGCAGACCTCACAGTAGAAGCTAGTCTTGATTCCCATCCAAGAGAAATATTCCTTAAGTGTCTTTATATCATCATTAAGAAAGACAAGGAGGACAAAGAAAGGGGATAGAGTCAGTACTGATGGGCCCAAATCCGGCCAGCTCTATAAAAATAACTTTTTGCAAAGTCTGTGTAATTTTGTATATGTGTTTTGTTGCTGTCATTGTTTCCTATCCTGAGGGAGAAAATGCTCTTTAATAAAAATAAATAAATGTCAGATAGCGTTCAGAGGGAGCCCCACACTCAGAGATTGATTGGACTAAAAATCGTGGCTCCAAGTATCCGTGAAGTCTGAGGGTATTTAAAATCTGAAGACTGAATAGCTCCAACAGTTCAAAGCAATAGAAATGATATATTAATACAGAAAAAGAGCTCTGCTTCCAGTTTGCAGGAGATTATAAACAAAAGTGAGAAATACATTTAAAAAATCATTATAAATACCTTGAACTTGTCCTTTAAAAAAAATAGAAAGGAAAACAACATTAAAAATAAAATCAAGGTTAAGACACAAGCCCTTTAAGGTCTGCATGTGGATGACCATGGAGTGTTACAGAGAAATGGAGAAAAAGGACACAGAGGAGAAATGAAAAGAGGTGTATGATATATTAACTTATGCCCAAAGGGTTATGTGCACCATGTACTAATAAATACACCAGGAGGATAAAACGATGAACAAGAGACTTAGAAAAGTAATCAAGCCCAAGAAAAGCGGACCTAGATGGGAGGGTGAGATGCCAGTTCTTCAGCTGGTGTGAAGTTGCATGTGGATTTCAGTAGAGCAAGGACCATTTGGGAATCTGCCCCTGCCCCAGAAGAACGGAAAAATACAGGATTGAATTGAGAAGCATTGGGAAATAGCTGGGAAATGGAGAAGTGGGGAAGTAAAATAAAATGCCGAAAGTGGGTAAGACTTTTTTTGTGGATCAGGTTAGGTGAAGGGAAGGTGAAGAAGAGATGAGACAGCGAAAAGTCTAAAGTACTGCAGTGATCCATTATTGGGCATACATGGTCTGAACAGTGAGGCTTCCATTAATTAAACTGTGTTTCACATCATTGATAGGCAGAGGTGGTTTCAGTGAAGTGACCGTTTCTTTACATCTCTGAGCCACAGATGGATCAGCGCCATGGAGCTATGCTGTTCTGCTGTCACACAGACCAGATGCAGCTCAGCAAGCTGGAAACCCCCAAGGATTCTGAGAGGAGGGAACAAGGCAAACAGTAGGACCACAACCCCGGACTTTAGCCCATTCAGGGGCCTGCTCGGAAGAATCCCATAAGAGATAGTCCTGAAGAGAAGAGGGGCTCAGAAGAGCTAGTTAGTTTTCACAGATCACCTCCTCCAAGATCAAGAAGCGTCCATCCCAAAAAGCAGCAAATCAAGCAAAAGTGGAATGAGGCCTGCATGGATGAACAAGGTGCTCCTGACTAATCTCAGACATAAAAAGAAAGTGAACAAGAGGTGGAAGAGGGACAGGTGACTCTGCAGGAATATAGAGACTCCAGCATGCAGAGATGGGGTTAGGAAAGCCAAAGCTAACCTCTCACATGAGAGGGGCAACAGGAAAAGGCTTCAACTGTCTATCAGCAGTGAAAGGAAGATCAGGAATAATGTGTGCCTGCTGCTGAATGGGGCAGGGAACCTGCTGAAAAGGGACACGGAGAAGGCTGAAGTACTCGATGTCTTCTTACCTTGTTTTTTTCTACTAAGAGCAGTGGATGTTGTTTATCTTTACTTTAATAGCATCTCCCCTAACATCCTTATCAGCAAACTGATGAAGAATGGACAAGCTAAGTAGACAGTAAGGTGGGCTGAAAACTGGCCAAATGGTAGGACTCTAAGGGTTGTGATCAATGGCATGGTACATCTGGAGGCCAGTCACTAGTGGTCTACTCCAGGAGTCGATACTGGGGCCAATGCTGTTTAACCTCTTCATTAATGACCTGGATGATGGGATAGAGTGCACCTGCAGCAAGTGTGCAGATGATGCAAAACTGGGAGGAGCGGCTGATACACCAGAAGGTTGTGCTACCATTCAGAAAGAACAGGACAGGCTGGAGAAATGGGCAGAGAAGAACTTTATGAAGTTCAATAAAGGGAAATGCCAAGTCCTGCCCCTGGGAAGGAATATCCCCATGCACCAACACAGGCTGGGGGCCAACCAGCTGGAAAACAGATTTGCAGAGAAAGACCTGAGGTTCCTGGTGGACAACAAGTTGACCATGAGCCAGCAATGGGCCTTGGTGGCAAAGGTGGCCAACAGCTTCTTGGGCTGCACTAGGAAGGACATTGCCAGCAGGTGGGGGGAGGTGATCCTTCCCCTCTGTTCAGCCCTGCTCATCCCAGATCTGCAGTGCTGTGTCCAGTTTTGGGCTCCCCAGTACAGGAGACGTGAAGTTACTGGAGTGAGTCCAGCAAGAGGCCACAAAGATGATGATGGGACTGGGGCATCTGTCATTTGAGGAGAGGCTGAGAGAGCTGGGATTGTTTAGCCTGGAAAAGAAAAGGCTCGAGGAGATCTTATCCATGGTTATAAATACCTGATGGTGGAGGTAAAGAAGACAGAGCCAGGCTCTTCTCAGTAGTACCCAGTGACAGGACAAGAGACAATGACACAAACTGAAATATGTGAAATTCCATTTAAACGCAAGAAAAAACTTCTATATTTTGAGGGTGGTCAAACGCTGCTACAGGTTGCCCAGAGAGGCTGTGTAGTAGCCTTTATCCCCAGAGATAATCAAAATCTGACTAGGCACAACCCTGAGCAATCTGCTCTAGTTACCCCTACTTTGATCAGGGGAGTTGGACAGGACAATCTCCAGAGGCCTCTTCCACCTCAACTATTCTGTAACTCTGTGACTCAGGTTTCAAAAAATGTAAATTAACCTGGTTGTTTTCTTTAGAAACTCACATAAGACAAAGTCTGACTCCTTCCCCTTTGGTAACTGGTTATAGAAATCACATAAAAGGTTACAGCAACAGGTTCAGTTATTTCATCCACCACAGAATGGATTTATTCCAGTTTTAATGTAAAGGCTTCCAGGGATTAAGCTGTTAATGAAACATGCTGATGAGCAGGTATGCTGATGAGGTGAGGATATTATTGACACAAGTCAGGTAGATTAACACTGAATAGGACAAGTATCTCCTGAATATGGGGGGGTTAGGAACAGAGGTCACACTCACTGCTTCACCCTGAGGAGGAGAGGCTTGAAGCCCAATAACCCACGGATCATTTCTGCTGAACAGAGCATGAAATCAATACGTGCTACACTTCTCATGCCAGATAGGAGACTGTAAAGTTACAGAACTGTCTTCTTCAAAATAATATATGGAGTCTATTTCTTGCTTCCTGGGTGAGGGGGTTATTTTTATAAATCTGATCATAGTATTTCAGTAACTTGTATGATACCTTGGCTTTTTTTATTTTCAAGTGAACTGCATTATGTTGAAATGGATTATTTTGAAAAGTAATCTGACACAGGAAAGCTGGGAAAACTCACCAGATGGAATCTTTTGTAGTTTTGGTGTCCATTTTACCTTCTTCATCCAGAAAGAAATCTAACTGTAAATTGGCGTTGTTATCATGGGCAGAAGAATAGTTGGTAACGACTCTTGCAGGTATCCCCAAGCACCTCAGAACTGTGGCAACGAGAAAAGTGTAATGAGAAAGACAAATATTAGGACATTGTGCTCACTCATAGATGACAGGATGAGAGAAATTATTAATAATTAGAATAAAACAGGAAAAAACTCAGTCACTTCAACCCCCCAAATTCCTCCTGTCTGCCTTTAACATACCCTGTCTGGTCCCAAAATGGTCAATTTTCAACATATGTAATAGTATAATAGCTTAACCTATGTCTTCATCCTCTGTCTTGCTGGAAGCAACAGATTACCAATAGTTTTAGAGTAGTCTTTCATAGTGACCGTACTGTAGCTTTCAAGGCAAGTCTGCTTTGAGTGGGTCTACTACCTGATCAAACATGGTATAAAGAAAAATAACTTTGATCTTCCAAGAAATGTGAAATACATTATGTCTCCTAGAACCAGTAAATCAGGTCTGTGCTAAAATGAAGATATTTAGAAAGTGTCTTCTTTTGCTTGATTTGGAGGCTTCCTGTTTAATAGTTGCCATCAGAAGGGATCCGGAGAACACAAAGAAAAAAGCAGAAACCGACTTTCAGGTTGGTGGGGGGAACTGCACTATTTGTAAGCAAAATGTCAGCATTAAAGAGTCTGAACAAAATGCACTACGTTATTTATATTGATTGCTAAGTAATAGTGCTTTGGAGTCAACAGACCCTTCCAATAAAGGATCTTAAGAGGAGAATCCAGCCCCATCACCTCCAAAATCTCAGAACATCACAGTGTTGCTCATGACTCTTCTCCCCATTCAACAGCTGAAAAATTGCAAAGTGTGGAAAAGCTATGGCTACTTCTGAAGTACAGTGGTATATCACTGGCCTTCTGCATTCGTGGTGCACTCTAAGTGACAGAAACAGACATGGAGCATGGCCCTGAGGGAAGAGTAGTGCTGCGGGCTGAGATATCACCTCAGCTTGTTCAGATGACATATGTTATCTCTCAGCCAAAAAAGGTCCTCATTTTTGATTTAAGAGCCAACATGGTTCTGCCAAAAACAGGGGGGTTGGGGCAAAAATAAGATATTTTAGTTGCAAATCCTATTTAAAAATAGTTCTGACGCTGCAAAGTTGAGCAGCCCTGCCTGGTACCGCTGGATTTTGTATATTCATTACTGTCACTACTGTGACTCTCAATAAGGAGTATTCATTCATTCATTCCAAGTTACTGGATGACAAATTACCTGGATGCATCCAATACCATATGTACCTATTGATTAAACTTAATTCAAACGCCCTCCCAGGCTTCCAGCTCATGAGCCATCAGGGCTCATTGAAAATAATTTGTCTGACAATTTCAAGATTAATGACCATTTTTTAGAATGTTTTAGCATTTTTAACAGATGACTATTCGGAGTGCACAATGTAGTAACCTTGGAAAGCTGGATTGGTCGCAATGATAAAACACTGGCAGCTGCGAAAGACTCAAAATACAACTCAAAACAATCCTTTCAGTTCAGAATGCCTGTCCAGACCTTTGCTGTCCTCTCTTTGGAGCAGACAACAGTCAGATACGTAAGAGGCTATGTACTAAATTCGCCACTGGACAGTATTTTAATTTCATAATATTCAACAAACATCACACTTCAACAAGCCTTGCAGTACTATGTGCCGGATCTCTTACATGACCTAATCAGTCAGGACACTGAGTCTAATTCTGCCCCAGATAAATGTGCCTTTTTATTTAACACAGTAGGCCCCAAGCCTCTGCTGCATTGCTCCAGTTTTACAATGGCCTACAGGCAAAATAATGCATAGTAGTCAGGGCCAGTGATGTGGGAGAAGTTAGGAGAACTGGTATGTGTGTTTGCAATCTAGAAAACACCAGATGAAGCCACTGGTAGAGAAAAACTAGTGGCTGGGGGAAGCCAGTATGAGGAACTGAATCTATAAGAGACCTTTGCAAGTACCTTTTTCAAACCTGTTGTGTTGTGCAGAGGCTCTAGAGTATCAAGTACAGACCACATGACCTCAGAGACTGAAGAAAGTACATGTCTCTCCGGTTTCTTGGATAGGGGTGATTGCTGATTATCTGATGGCCAAGAATAGAGTGAACTGTTTAATTTGTGGAAGGACAGACCTCCTACCAGCTCCTCCCAAACCAAACCCTGAACCTCTCCAGATATATGAAAGGAAAGTAGAGAAATCTGAAATTGGATCTCCCCCCTCCAGCTGTGAGAAGTATGTGCCATAAAAAGGCTAGATGGTCAGAACAGAGCTTTATTTCTGAGGTTCTTGCTGTTTTGAATAGCTTTTGAACCATCTCAGATAACCAAAATGAGTAATGAAATTCTATTATCCAAACGGGAAGAAAATCAGAATGAAATATATGTGTGCAGAACGGCCAAAAATAAAATGAAAATGCAGAGATGTCCAAGGCTGCCTGAGGGTGAAGAACCAGCCTTGTAACATGGCATTAATTATGCAATTTCCATGTTTGCTGCAGGAGATGGGTGGTTAACGTTCTTCAGTTTTGTTAGAAATACAATGCTCTTCCTTGAGAGGGTAATACACGTGACAGTCTTGAGCAAGGCAGAAAGGGGAAAGGGTTCCTGGAGAGATTTTCTGTAATTTTCTTCTTATGATTTAAATACAAGGACCAAAGCTTAGACCTTCAGCTGTGGCTGAAAAGTACCTGATGCAAAGCAGGCTCCAAGTTTGCAGAAATGCCTGCTGTGCCCCCCCCTGGTCCTAGGCTGATCTGCACTCCCCCGCAATTTGATGAGTTTTACATGTCTGTAGGGAGACCATTTCGGCATAAGAAAGACACTTTTTTTAGTGTCAGTTCAGCTTCTGCTATTAGTCAGTGCCATAAGCATAGGAACTGCTTGGCTGACTCTGCATTGACTAAGAACACATGACACATTAGAAGCATTTCTTCTAATGCCTGGTCCCCACTAGCTGTATAATGCACAGTTTTTACTCTACCAGAGTCTTCCTTGACTGCTAATATTCTGTGATGTGTCCCAGTATATTAGCAGTGTTCATTTGGGATGATGCGTTAGCAAGTGCTAGGTAATAAAAAATTAGGACTCATCCAATACTGTTCTCCCTACTGGGTTTTCAAACCTGCTATGCCTCTTCTGTTGCTGCATTGGAACTTCAGTTTGAGCGTGTTTAGACTTAGCCTTGTAGTGCTAGACAATTCATGCACCAGCATTTTCATCATCATTCTGACTCATAAATTCCATAGAAAATGTTGATAGTGCTCAGTAGGTAGTGCCAGGAACAATCCTTAATATGTGAGTTTTTAGCCTCTCTGGAGCAGGGACACCATCACATGTGTCATATTAGGCAATAGTTTCATGTTGCAGATTTGGATAACAAGCCCCCTGTTCACCTTACGTTTCCTAAGAGAAATGCGAAGCCTGCTGCAAGACTAGCTTTCTCTCTCACAGCCTCAAACTTACCCTCTGTGACTCACTGAATACATTTTACTGAATAAATAGTTAACAAATTTGTGTGGAAGAGCAGCCAAACTGAAGGAGATGCCAAAGTTTATTTAAAGCATGTCTATTTTAGCTATGCATTTTTCAGTAGCTCTACTATTTACTGCTGAACATTACAGAGCCAGGAAGTATTTTAGTTAGTTAAACCTGAAAGCTGTATTATGCAAGAATCGCATAGCAGAGTGGAGCTTTTCTCACTAATACTTACACGTGTTGAAGACACCAGCAAAGACCCAGCACTGACCATATCGCACTGGTTGTTTAGAACTGTAATATTCCAAGAGAATGTCCACACTTCCCGTCCAGACTGAAGGCGCAACCCCATAAGTGTAGGTATTGTCCCAGGATCCAGCAATCACACCATTATCATCCCTGGAATTGATCTAAAGACAAAAGAAATGGATATTAGGGATGTCAGAGCCTGAATAATGAAGAGCTCTTTAACCTAGCAGACAAAGCTATGATGGGAGAGACCGAATATAGAAAAGTTTAAGCTAGAAATAAGACAAAAGTGTTTAATTATGAAGTTAAGAGATGAATAGCACAGCCTTGCTAAGGGCCTTGGTGGATTCTCCATCATTGATTGATTTTAATGAAGGTCAGGCACTTGAAAATAATGATGAAATTAAATCACCACACTGAGTATTCCCATTGCCAGTTTAGTAAGTTTTATTAATGCTAAACATGCTCTGCTAAGTATTTTTAATAAACACGATCACTTATACACTTATAAGCAAGCCTCAGAAACGTTAACCTGGATTCTTTCCCAGTATTGTTTTTCTATCAGCATCCACCCAGAGATTTTAATAAAATCACTCCTGATTTACACTAGATTTACAGTGATCATAGGCCACTGTTATTTTTAGAGTAGAATCTAATTTCTTCAGTCTAGCACACAAGAAAACAAGAAGGAATTTGCTGTGTAAGTTTTCCCTTTGTAACATTATACAAAGTGTGGAGTTTTGCTGACTAACGGCTAAACTGATAGGCATTAATAAGTAATACATCTCCTAGCTGCAATTTGAACCAAACCAGTTGAGGCTGTGCAAAAAGCTCATTCACTCTGTACCTTTTAATTATGTGAAAATGGAACAGCTACATGCTAGCCAAATAAATCACAATTCTCATTTAAAAGCTGGATTAACTACTGTTTTATAATTAGAAAGTCAACTTCCTGTGAACCCTAGGACTGAATAAAGATGGGTATTCAGAGACATAATAAAGGGTTAAGGAGTTATGCCCATCTCACTTCATGTGGGAAACATTCCAAGAAAAGTGGCACTTCAAGGACGGGACAGCATTTTGATCTTTAATCTGTGACTACAGACTATCTCCCAAAGGCTCTCCTGTGGCTGAAAAGAGAGGACAAATAAAATGACTCTGCCTGCCGAGCCAACGTTGGGAAGCCTCAGAAAGGTCCCAGCATGGGGCCACTGGTCCCCTCTGGGAGTGCGTGTTCCTCCCAGACAAGCTCAGTTGTACTGTGTGGCATCCTGGGGGAGAAAGAGAGCCCCAGTCCTCACTCTTTGAGCTTCCTTGCGCTGCTGGCCAGCCACACACCAGCTTCCCACAGGCCAAAATGCTAAGAGTGGATCCAAAGAGGAATGTGGGCAGGATGTAGGCACCTCTTCACCACTCATTCCTGAGGTCCAGATTTCAGATGGTCAGAACTTCCACCCTCCTGCGATCTAACCTTACACATTCCTAAAGTCCACCTGCTCCTGGATTTCCAGTGGTGAACTTCTCCATCTCCCTAAAGTAGTTGAGTGGCTCAAAATCTAACTAATATCTAAGGCCCTTTAGGGTTCATAAAGTATGTTCTTCCGCCTATGGGGCTTTGAGGGTCCTTTCTGGTAGGTGTTCTCTGTCCAAAGCCACCACATGCCCAACACAAAAATACTTGAAGAGACCCTTTCAGTCTAGTTGCCCAGTGATTAATGCAGCAATCCAGGTTGTAAAAGAACCACATTCAATTCTTACCTTTGTCTCAATGGATCTGAAGCCACATTTCTAATGCTTAGGAAGAAAGAACTAACCAGAAAGTTACAGGAAAAACAGAAAGGGGGGGAGCTCAACTCTTCTTGCTGAATCTGTTCTATTTAACATGATTTTGTACAAAAATCAGCACATGGCTCTGTCTGAAAGGAGGGAGATCCAGCTTCAATATTATCTAAGACAGAGGGCTCATTCTCTTACAGCCTGGGCAAGTGCTGCAATACGCAGGTTAAAGGCTCATCCATCTTCAGCAACCTTGTTTTGTGGAGGCTGTTTTAGTAACTGGACTCAGAGAAGAGCTAATGACACTAGCTCAATGACTAGGTTACTTCTCTGGGAAGCAGATGGCATGAGCTGAAACTTCCATAAGACAGAGAGGACTGAACCTCCGCCTTCCACAGTCTGGAAAAGTCATCTAGTCTGAATAATAGGGATGGGGCTGCTGTTGTACACACTGCATGATGCCTAGTGCTTAACACCTGGAAAGAATGGAGGTTTGGGAAGCTGCTACCTTACTCTTTGCTTGTGGTTATTTTAGGTGCTTCCATATTGAGTGCAGTGAGTTTTGAGGTTCCCATTTTTAAAAGCAGAGCTCTCCCTTGTTCTCGGAGCCAAGGGGTCTCAGGTGGATGCCTCTGAGCTCAACTAGACCATCAGAGGCTCATAAATCAGACATAGGGACACCCAGCCTTGCAGTGTCTTAAGATCCCTTTGGGGTTAAGCGCTGTTAAGTGTTTTAATTCCTTGTCCCAAGTTGTATCTATGATGCTATCTCACTAGCCATGGAAGAAATAGCTTTATCAGTTATCTCAACTCAGAACACAGTGTCACAAGGAATGCTATAACGCCCAGAACTGCAATGTCTAAAAGTGACTTTCCTACCAGTGAGGTACCACTCTCAGAAAAAGGCAGTGAGCTGACATTAGGATTTCATCCTTAGTGGAATGAGGCCCAAGAGCTCAGAAAGGACAATTGATCTGGCAGATGGTAGTGTGAGCATATCAGGGCATGAGGGTCTTTTAATGGCTTTGAATCAAGCGTCACTTCTGACACATCTTAGGCATCTATTACATACCACTGCAGAGGCAACACGGCAAATTTTGATTGGGTTTCCACGCCCAGAGAGCTCCAGTTCTGCCTTGTCCATCAAGAACAGGCAAGCATCCAGAATGTTTTCTTCAAACTAGATAAAAGGAAATAGAGAGAAAGAGAAACATAGGGAAAGTTGAGTCAGTTTTTATTCTGGAAAGCAAAGATAAAATTATTGTTCATTGTTGTTATAGTAACTGATCAGCTTCAGAATTAGCTGATCTAGTCAGGTCAAATTTCTTTGTTTAAGAATACAGTTTTCTTCTAGAATATTCATCCCTATTTAACCAAAAAAGTGAGGCACTGTGAGGGAAAAGAAAGTGTCATTTTCAATTCAGTCTTTGTCTGGGTTCCAGAAGGTTAAAAGGGCAACACAGCCCTTCCAAAAGGACATAAAATTTTACGTGATAACAAGAATATAATAGGAAGATATTATAATAATAACTACAAGAAGCTAGTCGGCTCGCTAAGGACTTAATGTCCTTCACAGATTCCTGACCTGTCAACTTCAGAGGACTTCTCTGACACAGCTAGTGCAATGCTGAGAAGTTGACCAATAAACGGTTTGCTGCAGTTAATTTAAAGAGTTTGTATTTTAAAATCAATTTTAAATATGTTGAAAATTGACAAGCTAAAAGCTGATTGTATGGATTAATCCTGGTTTAGGAAACTTAGACATCAAAAAACGCCAAATGACCTAAAGTAATCTTCTTCAAAAATAGAGTAAAAAGGTACAGTTTCTTCGATCCAGCATGAACAAGCACAGGAATGAATTGAGGGCAGAGGTGCCTAAACAGACCAGAAACCATTGTCACAGAACTTGCCCTGTAATGTATTTCATTTTCCTTAGGAGAAATTGCATAGCAAAGGAAAATTCCTCTGTCCCCTGGAAAATGGTAGGAGAGAGGGAAACGCACATTAATAAAACAAACCTCTTCTGGATATGCTGAAAACACAATGTCATATTAACTTTCTAGGCTGTGATGGAAAGTTTGCTGAGCTCTTCCCCTTACCACGTTACAATAGGAAGGCTTTATGTTTTACATATGCAACCATTTCTGAAAGATACGATTCATACTAACAGGATTTTTGCTCTCACGCTGAGCTGAAAATACAGCTGGGTTGATTTTGTGACTGTCTCCAGCCTGGCTCAAGGCTTCTCAGCAGTTGAGGGTGATCTAAGATTTGCCTCCTGAAGAAAGATGGCCAGAGGCCAGGCCAGGCTGCTGCTTCACAGAGAAGGAGGAGAAAGGGTAAGGCCTGGGAGCCAAAAAGGGAGCCCTGAAGGATTGCAGCTGTGGCTGCTGCTGTGAGGAAGCCAGGAGGGATGCGGTGACCTCCTGGAGAGCCCACACCCCTTGGCCTCTCTCTTATAAGCAGCAGCCAACCTCTGACAAAAGCAAAGATGGCAGAGGTGTCACCATTGTTTCATCCCTCTCGGCCACCTCCTGCCCAAGGAAAGCACTTTTTTTTGCCTTTGCCTAAAAACCTCGTTTTGAACTAGAGCTGACCTGCCACTCACTGCTTAGAGTACTGCCATGAAATGGATCCTCTCCAGCAAGCACACCTTATCATCATCCTGCTCCTTGGCTCTGTCATCCACACATGCATTACATTAATTTCTCCAGAGCTGAAGCTCACTTCTTAGTAACATCTTATTATCTCATTGAGCAAAATTCTTGTTTTTTGGGCAAGTAGGGAAAAAGGGGTCAGTATTTCCCAGGGAAACGACTCCGAGTATTGTATCATCCCTGAGAGGCTGAATAATTGCACAGTGGACTCTCCAGTCCACTCCAGTCATATACGATTTCAATAATCTCAGGTGAACGACTGCATTGTGGAGACCCTGCCTCCTAAGGAAAATCCTCACAACAGATTATGTAAATCTCGGACCCTCATACCCATCCTTCCTGTTTCAAGTTCACTCTTCTTCAGGCCTGGCCTAATGATTTATCACTTTCACCAGGATCAAAATCTGCTTTCTGCACTTCAAGTCATCAGCAGTGTCTAATACTTGAATCAAATCAATAAGAAATTTACCCTGCAAATTAGATCTTTCTCATCTGCAGTTTATGAGACACTGTCAATCTGGCCAGCATGTACAGAAAGAGTAAGGAGAAAAGAAGCTGCTATCAGTCAGTGTTGTTGCCTTCCACCTTAACATTTGCAGAATGACATGAATGCCTGTGAAATCACTGGATTCACAGAAGAAATATAGGAGAAGCTGTTAAACCTAGCTGCCTACAGTAGTGTAGGGGACAAAGTAACCGTAATATAGCCTACAGCTAGTTTGACCCCTCTTCACTGTCTGGTGTTTCACAAAGTCTAAAGCAAACTAAATCAGCTTCCTGTTCTCAATCCTGGTGTGAAAATACTGTCTCTGAGGAGATGGACTAGAAACGTAGCACATGTAAGGCTAAACAACCTTGAAATGTAAGAGGAACCAGAGCAGTGGTAGGCAGCCAGGATATACGAGTGAACTTGAGCAAAGCAGTATAAAGTAGGCATTATCTGCTTGACACAGCTAAAATGAAGGCAAATAAATTAGATTCAGGACCAAGAAACCTTGGCAGAGCCACCTGGAATAGACTGCTAATGGAAAAAAAGGCATAAGAAAATATATAGGCAAAGAGGTTCTGTCTGCACACAAATTCGCGTTGGTCATATAGCAATAGTCAGACTGGTCCTCAGGGGACGTTCTCCTTTCACACTAACCTGTTTCTAATAGACGACCCTTAAAAACCATTCAAATCAAAATAAGAGGGGCTGCACCACCTTTTGCACCTGCTGAATTAGGGTCATATTTTGTGCAGTCAATTGCAAGCAGATGTGATCTCACTCTGCCTGTGGTCCGATCTGACCAAATGCACATGCCATAAAATTACATTTGCACTGTAGGCTACGAAGCTAATACAGCTCAGCACATGGATATAAGCCAACTCAGGATGGCAATGAGAACTCTGCTGCCCACCTGTTTAATTTTATTTTTCTCACAAAAGAAAGAAGACATGAAATGACCAACATAACATCCAACTTGCGACATTTCTCAACTAGAGAATTCCTCTGTGCCTAGATTTCTTCCAAAGCCAAATTTCCTCTGAATCCCCTTTGGGCTTTCCTGAGTGACTGGCAATTTACACATTCGAGGAAGAAAAGAGTCACAGTCATGTTACAAGGAACACTTCCAGCCTATTCATTACAGCCATGTTTCATCTTGGTCTGTTATTTTTTCTTCCGGGGTCCACTTTTCTTGCCTTCTCTCCTTCTCAAATTGATACCAGTCATTGAAGATGGCAATTGCAAGACACATGTCCCGCTTGTAACCTCGTTTTGAACTGTACTTTTTAATTTACAACCTGAGCTAAAGCTCTCAGCTGTCATTGTTCTAAGAATATTACTGTGCATTAGGAAAAAATAATGGTATCGTTTGCTCTTACCGATTAGTATTTCTGTATATACCCATATACCTTAAAACCCTATGACTATATGTGGCCTAACACTTTTTACTTACACTATTGTACATGGCTATATGCATACATACAGTACACATACACGTATGATGTACCCGTAACATGAGTCTTGCTGCTAGCACTTATATCCACTCACAGAAATGTTCGTAGTCCTTAACAGCCAGGATTGCTGACTTCCCTCAGAATATGAGTTAGATGCATGTTTTTAATGGCTGGGAATTGGCTGAGTAAGATCAGGAGCAGCATGTCCTCCGTCTAACTGAAAGTGGGGGAACTAGAAGGAGGCTTGTTTCTCCATTGCTCTGCATTTTGGGATATCTGCTACACTCATAATGGTCCTATTAAAACTCTTGGCTTGTGGTCCCCTTAGATGTACCTGCCACACTCAGTTTGCACACGGACAAGTGATAACAAAAGGTGCACAACAGCATGGGGGGAAATTAGGCCCTCCAAGTGCAGACAAAATTGGAATGAAAGCACATAACAAAGGGATATGGAACAGCGATTCTAGACAGAACTATCTCCTAATAAAAACAAATAGATAATGCAGTTTATCAAGGGAAGGTTGGTTTTTGTGTCAGCAACGTGCCAAATTTGGAGAATATAAGCACCTCAGTCCGTGCCACCACAGGCCATACATTTAATGTGGTAAGGCATAAACCCATCAGCTGGTTTAAGCAGCACCTTCCACCTCCAGCCACTCATCTGCTCTGTCTCTCTCTCCCCCTTACCTCTGTCAGAGAATGAATCCCAAATCTAAGAACTGAGCAAGCTGAAAAATAGCCCAGCAAGAAAAAATCAAGGAGATATTTATTCAGCTATGTTAGCTTTCCAGTCTGATTCATGCATTGCTGCACAAAGACTTGCACGGGGAAGAAAGGGCCAGGAGGGGACATTTTTGGTCAACCTGAACACACACCCAGCTTTGGCCTCAAGATATGGTTCCACCTCCCTTTATCTCAGAGGCACCTCCAGCTTATGGAATTGCCCCCTCCCCACCTCACTCCCCCCCATCTTATTTAAGGGTCATTTTTAGCTCCAACAGTTTCACAGTCAGAGCCCACAAACAACTGTGCTGACGCAACCAAAGGAAGGGTGCAGATGCAGGAACTCCCTAAGGCAGTTGCTGCTGCAGGGAAAAAGATGAAATTGTACCCTTAAATAAAGAAACAAGATAGATGTGAGTTCAAAGAGCTCTCCAGGGCAAGCACACTAGCAATCTATCCAGCACAAGGTTTAAGATTGTCTCTAGCTGAGGGACAGAAAGTAAAGCAAGAAGGTCCACTCTGAGAGACCATGTCTGGGAGGTGCAGTGAAAACTGGATGGATCCATTACCATAGCACTAAGAGAATACCTCAGCACTTTCTTAATTACTCTGTTGTGCAAAAACAATAGGTGAGATGAGCTCAGTCCAACAGTGGCCCATTGGTGTCCCCCTTAACGATGGTTAGGGTGACCTTAGAGAATTTTGATATTGCTCTTAAATGCCTGTTTGTTTCCCATTCCCACACAACAGCTTAACTGTTTCATCCCATAGGGATTTTCAGGCTGTTTAGTGCTTAGAAATAGATTGCTGTAACATGGGCAAGCAGCAAGTGTTTGATGTTGTTGAAGGCAGCAAATCTAGGCACATCAACGCTGCTCTCCAGCCTGATGGGGCAAGTTTCCCAGCAGGCTGCAAAAGGCCGCTGGAGCCTGAGGGCATCAAGTCCAGACAGCGCAGGGAAAAATTCCACCCTCTGTCACTGTGGTGAGGAAATTTCAAACTGTGGGACTAAATCAGTTTGTCACAGGAACCCTGTGACAACCTGACCCACAAGAAGATGGGAATTATTTCTGCCAAACTGCTAGAACTAAAAAGAAGAGTCAAAAAGGAATATAGTCTATTGCTGGGAAGAAATAAATCTCTCCCCTTTCACCAAACAGGTTTGGTCCTGAAGAAGCAATAATGTGGCAGCAGAAGTACTGCTGCATTGTGGAAACATCAGCTAATGAACATAACTTTCAACAGGTAGCCTCTTAGTATCTGAAACAAGATACTAAGATGTGCCCCTAAAACAAGATCTTTAAATATTAGATATTATGAAATTTTTTTTTGGATTAGGTATATACTGACTTCATACAATTTTAAAATTATGCCCCTTGTGTGTCTCAAGTAGACATCAATAATTTACTCCAGAGCCCACAGTCTCAACCACAGTCTGATATCAATTAAATTCACTTGCTGTCCTACTGGGAACAGCCAGAGAAATTCTAAATAGCTCACCTGACCATAACTCCAGCTTCTTAATTTTATATCGTTGATGTCTCCATGGAAAATCACACCAACATCATTCAGGACATATTCTTCCCTTTCCTTCTCATCATCCAGAAATACGGCATCCTCTGCGTCAGTTTGTCCAAAAGAAACATTAACACAGCCACTTAGTTTTCATACGGGACAGATTAAAAACTTAGCATCTAATACAGTCATCTTTAATGAAAAGTGCCCTACATCCACGAAACAAACCATTTTTTTCTTCAACACAGTACAAATATAAACAGATAATGACCTCAGTTAGAAATACGACACATGGCTTAAAGGCATGCGTGATGCAAAAATGCTGACAAGTTGTGGCTATTTTCTCGGGATCTGAAAAGCATGATTAAAATGTCACATCTTATCAAGGACTTTATGATTACTGTGTACCGCTGATTTAAAAGTTGGCGCACCGTGCATAATTCTGCATCCGTACAAACAGATCAAAGAACAATTCCAAGCCCATTAATGGAAAACAACTCAAGACAAGAGATTTAAAGAAAAATTTGTAGTGCATTAAGAAATGGAATACAGTTTTAATAGTGTATTAACAGAAGGGTTTGATTGCTATTTGTATTTGAAAATTATTGAATGTACTGCATCTCCGCCGTGCAGCTTGACTGACGAGCTAATATAAGGTGATATTTGACTGTCCAAGTGAAAACTGGAATAAATTGAAGGGATCATCAAAATATATACAAAGGATGTATCCTAAATTTTTCTTGTATCAGTTAAGGTACTCACAGGTACGTACGAAGCAGATTGTGATTTTGTGACACTAAAATGAAGTCGAGGATTTCTCCTCTGTGCCAGTGCTAATATTCTGAGACTAAGAGATACAGCTCAACATGTAATAGTTTGTGAATTAATTAATTTGGGGAAATCAGTAATGTGGCGCCAGATAACAAATTAAAGGGAAGCAATAACCTGTGACAGTGCGATACAGGCAAGTATGAAACTACCACTCACCAACTACCATAGTGGATTTCTTCAGCACCCCACTACAAATCGGTAGAGGGTCATTTCACTTTTAAAAGCCTATTGATTTACTCTGTGTTGTTGAAATGCAAATCAGATCTATGCTTCCTTGTAAACCTCATCTTCAAAAGCTTCTTTGTGTGCCTGTAGAACTGCAGTTTGGATGGAAATAAGGATAAAACCTGCACCCTCTTAAAAATCAATGGCCAAACTCACACTGATTTCAGCTAAGTTGGGGTTTTATCCGTCTATACACCTGACTATGCCAGAAGTTTTATCTTCTCTGAAGATATATTAATATTAATAAATCTATACATACAGTAGGGATTATGCATCAATATATAACACAGAACCTCTACACTGGAGGGCAACGGAATGATATGAGAGGCCTTCGTTGCCTCTCATTGATCAGGACTTTCCCTTGTACTTTTGCCAGTGTTGCTTTGCAGCCTAAATAGTTCTTTTCCCTCAGCGTGACTGATTTTGCTGACTGAATTGCTGACTCGGATACCCCAGTTTTTCTTCTCTCCTCTTTTTTCCTCCCAGTGCTCCTGGGACAGCCACATTCAACTTTATTTAATCCAGCTGCTAATGGGCTGCTACTTCAGCACTTTCTGGTTCTCTCTCTCCCTTCCACATAGGCCAGCAGCCAGGCATGTACCATGGCAGAGCCTGGTTCCTGCAAGTAGATGGAGTAAGGCAGGCAGGGAATATCAACTGATGTTTTTATTTTCCTGACATTTTGGGAAACCTTTTTGTTTGTTTGTTTCCATCTTCAGAAAGTTTTGTAGCATTCCAACTACCAGGGAAGTGCTTAGGTAGGGGCACAAGACTACATCAGAGAGAGAGTAAATGGAGAAGCAGCAGGTTTTACTTGTTTTTTCCTAAGGCATGTGGGTTTGAGACCCACTTTTGAATTCTATAGAGTGGTGGTATTCACTCCACTTCTAACAGCTGGTTATAAAGAGGTTTATAAACCTATTACTACCTATGACCTTGTCAACCTGCATTCAGTTCCAAAGTGTAGGATAATGGGTTTATCAGAGGCTACCAGGTGACAGAGAGAGTGGTAAAACCTGAGAGTGAATCAAAAAGCTGCAGTGATTTATGCCAGCAAGGCATAATCTTATACTTAGGTGAGGTCTAAAGTTCCAGTTCTGAGGAAATTCTGCATGACATTCTGCCAAAAACATTGTAGATTTTACAGGTCGTGTAGGTTCTGTTTGATAAGGATGGATATGCATAATCTGATGACTGAGCAACCATAAATATTTACTCATTGAGTTTTGGACTTTATTAAAGTACATCTGTACAAATAGGTACAGAGAGCACATTCAAAGGAAGAGAACTTACACCTCCTGTGTGGTTATGCATTCAGTGGAGGGCATGCACGTGCTTTCCTGACAGCTGTTGTTCTCTTTCAGGGATTAAAAATATCAATACTGATCTGGTTGATATCAACAGAGATGCTTATGTTATTTCAAGACTGCATGATCTTTGCTAAATTAGATGAAAATTGATTAAGTTCTCTGTCAATTATTTTTAAATATTTGTGTTTTTTGATAACACAAAAAGGGCCTCTGTGTTTCACAGAGAAACCAGTTGCTTTGATTTTTGACAGCTTTCACTACCCCTGAGACTGTTTAGAAGAAAACACAAGGCATTTGTGACTGCTTTGATGCTAAGCATGCTGTACGTAGTACAACTCCTAATTATTTTGTGCAAGTGGAGACTCACATCTGACAAACAGAAGAATTTCATGGCAATATGCTGGGTTTGTTTGTTCTTTCTCCCCAGCAGTTTAAGGTTTTTTTACTCACTTGTTTTATCCTGGGAGATTACTAAGACACTAGCAATGCTACAAAGAAGCAAACTAGCCTCTATGCTTCTGTGTTTGAAGATGGGTAAGGTAAAAATATATTTCGTGAGAAGACAGTATTGCAGGTAAGGAAACCCACTGCACACAGGCTCCTTGTAAAAGTGGTAAGAAGCCCTTTCCCTCTGGCGATGTGAGCAGGGGACAGGAAGGGCATAAGGGTCCTTCCCCAGTACAGGGGGAAGTGGGCAAGCCCTTCCCCAGCACAGCCACTAGCCAGAGCTGGAAACATTTCCTCATGCACACAGTGACTGCTGAGCATGGCACCACCTGGGGATGCAAAGGTGGAGGCATCAGGCTTATCCAGCGCACCCAGCCTCCCTTGACTGCGCTTCCTCGGGAGCTGAGGAGCCTGAGCAGCATGCCTGGGCTTCACTGGAGCAAGAAAGCTCGCAGGGCTCTTGCTGAGAGGGTGCAGCACCGTGGCAAGCGTGGACCTGCAACAGTTAAGTTCAGATATCTACAAAATCCACTCCTCTTAGGATCAAGCTCAGTATGCTTCTCTGCAACTGTTAGCATTTATCTACATTAATGTAGCAGGAGTGTAAAGCTCTGTGTGAATATTACCCATGTGCAATCTATGACATAAGAGATCAAACGTAAGCTTTTGCTACAAACGCCAGAAAATGTTATTGGACCGATATCTCATAAGAGGAGGCTAAAATCAACCCCATGCTAATAATCATCGAACTAGAACAGGACTTTTGAAGGATATAAGGTAAAGAAATAGGCAACTGCATCTATAAAGATGCAATATATTTAATAGTTTAAATATAATGCACTTCGCAAAAGACTTGGGTGAATGAAATGCATGCCTTCTCAGCCCATGGAGTCTGCAACTTATCAGACACAATATGCATCTCTATTTACGAGAAAGCCATTAAGGTTAATAGTGAGAGACACAGTGCGTTCCCAAGCAGAAAGCTGCTGAGGCACAGCACCTCTTCAGAAAAACCTCACAGTATCCAGATCAAAGGAGATATCCTCTTCTTTCATGTAGTCCAGCATCACTAAAAGTTCAGTTAAATTTTAAGAACTTATCCTCAACCACGTGCAGTTTGTATCTTCTGTTTCAGAACTGAAGAGGGCTCTGCATGCCCAAAAGCACATCTGTTTTTCCCTGCTGTATCAGGTGGCTGAAGAAAGGATGCTTATAGGCTTTATCTCACATATTAACGAATGCAAATTTCACCTGAGTATCTGAAATCTCAGTCCGCTAGCATACTGAATTCTGCTGTACCCAAATGGGAAGGGCAGATGCATATCTCCTTGCAGGATCAGGTCCTGCAGCTGGATCTGTAAAGTCGTCCTGGTGATAAGCCTGAAATGTAGCTCAAGGGGTTACACTATATAAAAAATCCAACGATTTTGGAAGCAAGCTAAAGCAACTAGTCAGTTTAGCCTAATTGGTAAATTATGCAGACTTTTGTGAAACAGCAGGAAAAAACGCATCTGTGATTGGGAAAATACGTCAAAACAGAACTATAGTATGAAAAGGAGTAACGAGAAAGGGCACAAATGCCTCTGTCTTAAAGAAAAGCTCATACAGACACATTGATGTTTCTTGAAAATGATGAGTCGAAAAGCTGCAGAAGACACTGACAGAGCTGGTTCTCTGCTCACTGCAATAACAATCCCCATTCATTCCTGGCATCAGCCTTCTCTCTTTTTAATGAGGCATTTCACTCAGACTTTTCTGCTTAGCTATTAACCCAGCAAACAAGTCCAAGAGATTTTCAAACTATTGCTTTCTGTGCACTTTAACTGCCTGAATTTTTATACTCTTTTGCCATTCCACTGAACAACCTTTTCCAGCCAGGGGATAAAGTGTGCAGAAATGCTGCCCTTGGTTTTCTAACACAAAAGGGAAAAGCAGATATAAGAAATAATTAGTCCAAACTACCTAGGAGTAAAAGTAGGGGCAAGAAGTAAATCCAAATGAAATTATGTCCTGGGATGTGCAGAAAATGAAAATTGTGGTCGTCAGCAAGGGACAGGATTGGAAATCATTGAGACACACCTGAAATAAGCTGCAGACAAAACCAGGGTCATCTGGGGGTAACCCAGAAAGTCCTGCCCTAGGCCTTGGGGCCACAAAGTGGATCTTTACTTCCCATAGACTCTTTTGCTTTCTTGTCGCAGAGCCTTTCTGGCAGCCTTGCTGATGGCTGCTGCTGAAGACAACTGCAGCACACCTTGTGCCCTGCTAGTGTGCTCCCACACTGTGACTTTAACTTTGTTTGCTTTTGGCCATATTCAGCACAGGTATGAAGGAAGGAGTGTATATGAAAACAAGGCACTCATGTGCCATGAGCAGCTGTATATCAGTTAGCAAACAGTATTGGTGGGGGAAGGAGATGGGAAGAAGAGACTGCTTTTCCCCTTCCCACCCTCTGGCTAGCTCTTTTGTTGTCACACCATGGTGGAGTAGCCAACTCCCCTACAATCACCACAACCGTACCTTTATTCCAAATTACAGTTGCATGCAGCCCCCCCCCCGGTTTGTTGTATGCTAGTTATGAGGTAAATTGAGGCAACTTAAGAAGGTTTTTCAGTGGGGCTTACCTCAGAGTAGGCCTCTGCAGAGTCACCACACTGGCTAACAAACCGGCAGTCGAGACTTCCAGGACTAAAACCAAGGGATGCTATACCATGATGCAGAGAACTGCACCTCCCTTGCTGGAGCTATGACAGGCTGATGCATTTACAAACCTTAAGCAGCTTTGTCTGCTCAACAGTAGGTCACACGCACTCTCTTTTCTGTGGCCTGGGCTCCTCTCTTCCTATTTCACATTATTCCCTTCTCCCAGAAAAACTCTTAGCATTCTTTTCTAAGGTGCTTTCCAAAGTATCTCACAACATTGTAGCACCCTGGACCCTGCCTTTCCCTCCTGTTCCCACTTAACTAACTCTGCTTTACTCAGCATTAACATATATCTTCCTAAATAATGCATAAGCTAATCACTGCTTATATTCCCTTGGACCAGGGGCAAGTAATGAACTCAGCACAAATCATTCGATGTACTGACAGGAGTAGCAGAGTAATGGACTATTAATAATGCTCAAGTTACTGATCCCACAGTAAGATGACCCTTGTTTAGTATGGGTTTATTTTATACAAATATTGTGGGAAAAACATTGTAGCTCCCATGAAGGAAGGGTAGCAGGAAGATATTAAAGTTAGCTGGTGACCTAAATATGTAGCAGTGCATATGCCAGACCTGGAGTCTTACAAGTATCCGAGTCCTGGGATCCAGGGAGATTAAAAAAAGAAAAATTGTTCTTCAACCCAATGGATTAAAAAAGGCACATTTGCAAAATGTCCTATTCCTTGCAAAGGCCAGGACAGCTGGTAATTAGTCAGCCCTAAAGAACAAGTCTCACGTAGAAGCAAGGCACCACGAATCATGCTGCACTGGATTGACTGTATCTAACCTGTGCAGGAGCAGCAGTTCCCACTGAGTTCCTGCAGGCATTTAGACTGCAGCTGTTTGATCCTGAAGTGTGGCAATCAATGATGCAACTCAATAGAAAATCTGTCAGTATGGGGGACTGCCGCATCCTGCCCCACACTGAATCCTGGAGAAAAAACATGCCTGTATTGACTTGTCAGTTTAAGTAAGGCACACACAGGCAGGCAGAAGGCTCAGACTGATACCTACTAAAGTCAGAGCAAAGCCTTGGGGTATGTTTACTACGAGAAATGGAGCAGTGCCGTGCTTCCTAACTGGCAAACACAGACTTGGCTGTATATAACTGCAGAACGCAACTAGAGCAGAGGCATAGGCCTGCAGAGTTGAGCTCCACTCACAGGGCTATTCTCAAGCCTATAAGACTTGCCTCCTGGCACATTAAGGTGGACCTAACTACATCGTTTCCAGACACAAACTAGCTTGCTTCCAATCACCTCAGTACCAAGCTTCCCTTCCTGGATTACCCCATGCCTCCCAAAAACCAATGAGCCTGGCAGCAGAAAGCGTGAACCTTTGACTCTCATAAGGTACTTACGCTGGCACCAAGGATTGAAGAGGATGTAAGTATCGGTTTCTGAGTTTCTCTGTGTTCGGAGGATGCCAAAGGGAGTCCAGACTGCAATGTACAGGCGAAACTTTCCAGCAATGCAGGTGGCAGACGACATGATGGACAGGCGAATGGAGTTGTTCTCCTTGTGAGTAATCTTGGCTCCCCACTCCCCAGGTTTCAGCTCATCACCTAGGAGGACTGGGATGTAAGTGCCTTTGTTTTGCTGTGGATAGCGGCCTGGAAAGAGAGGGGGATAATTCCATGAGTAGATTCACCTTGTTTTAACTGTCTCTTCATTTCCTGGTAGCCTTCTGTTCCTTCATCTGTTTTCAACTGAGATGGCAAGTTCCAGTGGGCAGAGACCAGCTCCTTTAGACTTTCACATAGTGCCTGGTCACTTGGCAAAACTGCCACATAAAAATGTTCATAATACCTCTTAGCAGGCAGCCTGTGCAGACAGCTTGCACCCATCTAGCTCCAGTAAGCTTTAAAGCTCAGGCTAGGAGTGTAGCCATGGCAGTGCGAGTACGGGCTGTCCCCAGCTTTCCCTGGATCAGATCTGTTCATCCATCATACTGTACTCCGGTTTGCTCCTTATCTTTGTGTATAGCTACACAAGTAAGTGTGTAAGTGTGACTGAGAGCCCCTTCCCAAGTTCAGATTCATTGAACACCCTCTTTGTTAACATGCAAGCAGCTGCTCGGGCATGGACATCGGCTGAGGGCTTTGGATGAGCCCTCACTGCACTACTGAGTTGACAAGCAGAGACCAAGCCCTCCTCCACACTAGTGAACACAGATGGGGCTCAGAAAATACAAGTCAGTCTGCCAGCGGATACCCAAAGCTTACTTCTTCCCAAGCACCTCATGGACTGAGTTGGAATCAACACCTGGAGTATAAATGAGTGCATCTGGGCTAGATAGCCAAACTCTTTGTAAGCAATGGATCCTAAAGTATGACACATCTACAAAGTACCACACATGATGTTCTATTTTACAGTAAAACAAACCACACTCTGTAAAAGCTTACTTTTCTCTGCCAACGGTAACAAGCACCTAGATGGATAGGCTACATGTAAACTTGTACACTGACAGGTTTTAAAGTTAGCTGAGAACGATTCCACCCTTTCAGCCTGAGGTAGAGCCAAATTCTATCTGGAATCTGAGCAGCAGCGTAGACAAAATATACACTTGTGAGAAGGCTGAGTTCCTTATATTATTCTCAAACATATTCACTTCATATTTTAGGCTGAAAGTCAGACTCTTTCACAGACAGGGAAATGAAAAGCACAGAGGCAGACAGAGACAGACCTCTATATTTTTCATTTCTACTATTTAAGAACTTCAAAATTAAATGTACAAAGTCATTGATTGTCTGCTTGCGTATTTTTATACAGCTGATGCACAGATAATCCCAGATTTGAGCACTGCTACATTTTGGGAAAGGACAACTCCAGTTTTGAATCAGAAGGTTGCAAGCTGCCATGACCTCTGTGTTTCTAAGAAATCTGAGGCTACTGTGCTTCATCCAACAGGTTATTCGGGGCACATAAATAGTCCATTTTGCCCTGAAGGCCAGGGATGCTGTAACTCATGAAACCTATTCAGACTAGTGAGGCACGCAACATAAGGAAGAGACCTACAGAAGAAGAAAGGATTAGCATGAGAGAGCAAAAACAATAGAAAACACTAGAAGATAAAGCACTGGACACTTCAAAAATAAGCCATCAAAGGAAAGACAGTCTAGAGAGAAGAGCCTATAGAGGTAACAAAGACAAGAGTCTTGTGCCTGCTCACAATTGGGATCTGAGAGCTGAACATGCTCCTGTGCTTTGTAGTGGAACTAGGTATGACCCAGCTTGCCTCTACAGTTGATATTTTGCTGCTAGTTTTGATATAATTGTTTTTATTTAAAAAAACAGTCCACGCAAACAAAGTGGCAGAACAAACCAAGTAATTGAACCAACACCTTTGAAAACCACTGACAAGCGCTACCTTTTAAAATATCTTCCTTACCTCTCTCAGAAAGGGGGAGGGAGGGAGAGATTAGTATTTTAATGTGATTGTGAATTGACTTTATCATCCTCATCTCTACACATCAGTGCAGGAGCCCGTTAGAGATGGCGGGAGCTGTGCTGTGGAGGAGGACTCCGCACCACTATGCAAAGCTATGCAAACAGACTTTGCAAACAGAAGCACATGCACTGGTAACAGGCAGGCTACAGAATCACCCTCCAGTAAATCTGCTTATAGGAACTAAACAGGATCCCAAAGAGACCGTGGGGTCTTTGTAAGGCATGTTTATTAAAACACCCTCACCTGCACCTCACACCTGGCTCAGCAGAGAATCACGCCTGTAGTATTCCTGCCTTTCTGTGGCCCCAGCATGCAACACCTCATTTGCCTTTCCAAACAAAAACGATCCCTCTTGCATGTGAGGCTACAGGACACCCTAATCTGTTTGTCACATAACACGGGAGCACTTGTAGCTCTTACTAGTAAATAGAAGTCAATGCTGTTTGCTCCTAACAGGCGAGGAGGGCTCTGGCTGCTTTGCCAGCCTTGCACTAACAGTCCCATAAATCCTGAACCCATGAGGAAGGCTAGGAAAACAGGCAGAGTCCTCAAGAGCACAGGGAACAGTTTCCAACATTTTATGTGAAGAGAGGACAGGTTTCCCAATCTTCTGAAATGAAAACAGAAATACAAATGAAAGAGCAAGGAAATTGTTACTTTTGACAGAAGCTTGCAGAGCTGATTTGTAATCACACATCTAGACACCTGGCAGCACCAGCCACACTAGTCTCATATACACACATCTGTTGTCTTGATACTAGAGCACTATAAAGCTGAGTAACTCTGGCATTACATACTAAGGTTGCTGGCAAAAGAATCCTTATGTAGGTTCAGTACTGAGTTTATCAACAGTGAAGGGTAGTCCTTTCAAGATGGCTTGAATATTTGCCTTATTAATTTCATTTACACCTTAAGCGCACATTTCTAGCTGCAGTTGAAAATGAAGGGTCAATTTTGGCTTGTAGTTGGGATCTTTAGTGTCAGGCCTTTCTCAGAAGGGATTATATGCTGTGCTGACTGAATCTCTGGGTGATACTCTCTAAGGAAGAAGATTCAATATTATCTAAAGACTCATTACCAAAATCTGTGAATGTCTGGCAAAGCACTCTCTGCAGGCTCTCTGGTGCTAACCCAACCTACAGAGAGAGGTAGGAGGATGTGTTTGGGTGCATGTGAGGACCAGGAGTCACGTAGCGAAGGTGAACTCTTATACTGATAAGAGGGCTCCTCTGCCAGCATCAACTGGCTCAGATCCTTCTTGCTCTGATTTGCTCCAGGAGTTGGCAGCGTGAACCATGTTCTGCAGCCAGTTCTTTGTGGTTGCCTCACTCCTTGATGCTCAAGTGTGTTTTGGGTGTAGGAAGTCTTGGCCCTCAGTCTTGGGCGAGATTATACATGAGGACATTTCACAAGAAATTTCTCTATGAAAGACAAAGTAGTTGTATGACATCACACTCTTGGGATGTCCCTATCCAACACTGCTAAGTATCCACCACTGCTATTCTTTCCAAATTGCTAATAGGAGATCAGGCTTTACTCAAATGACACTCTTCCTCTTCCCCTACTTATTCACCTTCAAGTTGATGTCTCCATTTACTTTAGTTTTTCCCTTGTTCCCTAGCAGACGTATACATTCCCATATGTGTGTGTGTGTGCGTGTGTACTATTCAGCCGTTGTTGAATTAGCTGCTGAGCTGCTACCACAGGAAGTAGAGGGAGTGATGAGTGTTTTTGGGCAGGTCCTACATAAATCAGTACCTGTTTTACTTTTCCCTTTTGCAGGGAAAAGGGGGGAATTTGCTAGAACAGAGATAAGCGATGTAGTTAACTTCAAAGGACGTTTCCTTCCTGATGGAAGCAGGATACTTCAGAACAGAGGGAGATGAACAAAGCTATTTCTCAGTACTCTCTTTAGGAACCTTCATTAGAAGATTTTAAAGGAGTGTGTGAAGCTGGCTCCCTTTGCGACATGCATTATACACAGTTAGGTTAATAATTTTCCTGTTGGGTTCATTTTTCTTTACCTAGATAGACTCTTTCACACACAGGGTAAATAATTTATTTCCAAGCCAGCCCTAGAAATATAATAGTTGTGACAGGCTGATAAATAAGTTGGAGGTGGAGGCCACAGTACAGTAGCTGTGTAGCAGAGGCAAGCCTTATTGTAGCAAACAGCGTGGGGATGGGTGTTAGCATACTGGGACTATGCCTTATTAATGACTATCAATAACTTTAGCAAACATCTGGAAGGGAAGGGAGAGGAAAGGGAGTGAAGGGAAGGGAGAAGAAGGGAAGGGAACTGTAATAAAATCTCAAACAATCAAAGCAAACGAGGGAGAAACAAATCTTTGTAAAAAATAGTACTGTCTTTAAGCCACTGCTTTAATTTCACATCTGGTTCCTTCCCATCCTCAAATTTCTTTGCCTTCAGAAGTGTTGCATACAAACATGGAGTGCAGGACACACAAATATCTTCAAATGATTTTTTGCTCATGGCTCCAGTTAGGAATCCATAACATCTGACCACACTGTCCCAGGAGTGAATGTTACTAGTACTTCACAGCTGTAGAAAACACATTGGCGTCATACATTTCAGCTAGGAAACAATGCTAGGAAAGCTCTTAAAAAATCAAGATGCCATCAGCAACTTTCTCCAAGGTGCAGAACTTGTCTTGACATCCCATCTAAGACGCTGGGGGAAAATCTCATGTCCCTGCTACTCCATTAGCTAGCCGCCCACCCCCATCCCAGTGCTGCTGAGGAGAAACAGGGACAGCGCGGGTAGCAATACTTCCCACAAAGGCAGATTTGCTGCTTCATAGAAGGAATAACACCCCAAACCCCTGGAACAACTCAAAATCCCAACACTGCCTTTAAAACAGGGAAAGGCCATGGGCACTGTAGGATGGCATAAAGAGCCCCACTGATTCTGCGGGGCCTGACTCAGATCCCTATTTCTTTAGTTTTACTCGGGTGGCCCCACTGACTTTAGCTGTGAATGTGGTGTCCTCTAAATAAGCCATATGGAACAAGATCCAACATTTTTTTACTCTTAGCTGTTTTCGTATGTATTCATATGTGTAATTTCATCCTCTTCCCTCTGGAGCAGTCCTGGGAAGACTGTAAAAAAGGAGCAGTAATTTTCTGCTCTCATCTCAGGCCAAAAGCCTATGATTAGAAATCAGGCAGTATATATGGGTGGGAATGTGGGTGTGCACGCATGCACATGTGTGGAAAGATGATAGTAGCCTAAAGGATGGGGATTTATGATCATTCCAGAAGTATAACAATGAATAAAAGGTTTATAATAATATTTAGGGCTAGACCAATATATATGGATTTATGAGGCCATTTAAGGAAAGTACCAATAAACAATTTATGAGGGTATATAAAAATATATCATTACAGTAAGGATGCACCATATAAACTCATCAGTTGCTTTAGGATTTACAGCCATGTATAGGAAACTACTGTCAAAAGTATAATGGAAGGCTACATAAGCCTATCCAATCATACATCCCCTTTTCTAGAGAAATCACTGCTTGTAGAGCAGTGACTGGTGAAACTTTGTGGCACTCAGGCTAACTGGCTGCCAGGTGTGAGACGCACACTAGGACAGGCTCCCTACAGAGCCTCAAGCTGTAGAAAGCCAAGAACAGCACAAAGAGTCCTCTTTACCAAGAGGCCCAAGAAAATCTTGCCCCATATTGACCTCGGGTAGTCAAGGGGAGTTCAAGACAGCTGAAGAATTCACTGATTTGTCCAGGCTCCCTGGAGCCTCAAGCAGACGGCAGTTGTTTCACCCCAGCTAGCCTTGTGGGAAACTCAATGTAAGAACATTATCTACACTTCTCTTGTGGCTCTTTTATCTCATCCCCAGAAAAATAAAAATAAGTATGTGTCAAGGGGTAATGTTCACCTTTTCTCATTAAACCCAGGAAGTGGGCTGTGAGAAAGGAAATACGACATGATGGAACAACTCTCAAACCATAGGTACCGAGGCAGGGCTGCAGTCCAATACAAGAACTGGACTAATATCCCATCATTCCTTATGAGTGGAGATTTTTCCATGTGGATTTTTGATCCATTCATTTTTTTTTTCATACTTTAGCAGACAAGAAGAGTCCTAATTTAATGAAACAATATGTGCAAAACAATTATAATTTACATGTTAGCATTTCAGACAGTGTCATTGATGATTAATTCACAGAAAAGTCTGATAAAGTGAAAAGGACTTTAGTCACAAGGCTCCTTCTCAGGAGAGTGTCACTAAAAGTGAATTTCAAGAGATTGAGGTGAATTATTTATATTAAACAATTATTCCATTAATTCTACTCTGCATGTGAATGGTATCTAAATGGACTGTGGTTTTTACAAAACCATTGTTAACTAAATGTATTCCATGAGCGTCTGAGACCAAATTTCACATGACACATTGGTCACAGGAAGCATTTGTCCTAGGTCCTCTTGATTCATTATCAATAGAAGGATTAAGCAATCTCTACTTGCTTCATTAATCATCCTTTTAATGATGCAAAAGAAGCAAAAATAGGAGCAAAAAAAGGAACTAAAATGAAATTTTAGGGAATAAAGGAAATAGAATACCTCCGAACACACACAGGACCAAGTCATTACCACTGTCATATTTTCAGAAGCAGAATTAGTCTTTAATGGATAAAAAGTCTGTGATGGATTAACGTCAATGCTGGGAAATTTCCAGTGCTGGGAACTAATCATTTCTGAATAGCTTCATATTCTGCTGCTGTCTAAACAGCCTTCATTATAGGAATGACCCTGCAGAAATAGATGTTGAATTTTCTTAGCTCCAGCTGAACTCCCTGGGAGCCAAGGCCAGCTGCCCCACCAAAAGATTCTTCATATCTTATGAGAAAAGCACCTCAAAACATCCAAAAGTCTCATCCCAAAAGATTCTACATCTCATGTACAGCCTGCTCAAGATTATTTAAGGTAATCTCTGCATCCCTGGATATACTCAAAACTTGCCCACAGGACAAGGCTCTGAGCAACCTGAGCTAACTGGACCTTCTTTGAGCAAGAGGTTGGCCAGGGGACCTCTGGACGTCTCCTCAACCTAAATTATTCTACAGTTCTATTCTAGTGTTTGAAATCCACTCCTTTAGTGCTCAGAGAGCTCCTTGGAAAGGTCATTTTACAATCACCTTCAAACATTTCTTAATGCTCATCACTTTAAACTCTTCAGTTCAGCACTTTCTAAGGAGGTACCCTTTAGAATATTATACCCTAATGTTTTCTGACACTGTGAGACAAGCTGCATCTGCTGTACTGCTGTTGTCTAAACCATTCCTTTAGGTATAGCATCCATATGACAGCACCAAAGAGTAGGATTCATCTCCATGGTCTTTAGTGATCTTAAAGTCAGAGCCTGGTCTATGGGAGAGAGTCAGTGGAGGAGGACAAACGCCTCCAGAGGAGAAATCATCCAATTTTAAGGGAGCAGGTGCCTGCCTCCTTCCTCTGCTTACAGAGGCAGCCTAGACAACAGCTTTTAGACTGGACTCTGGTTTTTAGGCAACTGGCATTACAGGAACTGAATGCCTACTCTTCAGGCATAAACACATTAAAAATGGGATGTAGCTTGGCCACCTTTCCCTATGACAAAGGTTGAGAACACTGAACCCTTCAGCACTGAGAACTTTTTCCTAAGTATGACAGAGAAATCTCCTTCTCCCCTTCAGGGCATCAAACATTACACTTGCCACTAAAAAGACAAGTAGTAAGAGTCAAGCAGATCATCTCTGAATGATTTAATCCCAGCTCCCTAAATGATTTCCTTCTCCTTTGTGGACTGATTTTGTTTTGCTTTCTGTTGCTAGCCTATATTTGTTCCTTTGGGAACAAAAATACTATGTTTTCACCACATGTGTTTAAAGAGAAACTTTTGGGGAGCACTGAGTATTAAGCAAGTCCTAGAAGAGGTGCCCGAACATCTGCGCTCCCAGTTCAATCTCCGTGAGCTCATTTCCTTACAGGAAGGTGACAGTGCTCATAGAAGGAGACCGTTAAAAAGCAAGAGAGCGCAACAGCGTTGTATAATATCCTGTATATGTAGCACTTTACATCAGCTGATTCCCAAGCACCACACATAAGACATCAAAATTAATGTTCCCATTTCACAGAAAGGACAGTAGCAGTGAAGAACAGGGAGGGGAAGAGAAGTCTACCATAGCCTCAGGGCTGACTGCAAAATCATCATTCTGAACTGAGTTTGTTGCAAAGCCTCTCCTGGCTCAGACTAGGTTTAACCCCATTCCTACTGAAGCTGAGGATGAAGGGATTTTTATCTATTCTTAGGGATTCAAGGAGCAGGCTGTGGATAGGGGATGTGTTAGGAAAGAGCAACAGGAGAATAAGTGTTTAGATTGTCCAAATGGACTTCGCAATGTCAAAAGAAATGTTAAGTTTCTTTTTCCAATACACACTATCTGATTAAAACAAATGCAAATATCACACAATGCAATAAAAAACAAATGTTCCATTTTCCCTTTCTTGATACAGCTGCTTGTTTTAAACATATAAAGATTAAGGGAACAGTCTTGAATTTAATTAAATCCCAAAAGAACTAATGATATCTATGCATATTAAAATTTTAAAGGCTGTTGTGCCTGTTCAGCCAATCATTCATCGAACTGTCATAATATGCCTCCCAACCTTAATTTAAATTAGAAAGAAGAGATCCGTGAAAAAAATGTGCAGACAGTAACCTTTTCACTGTGCATATGTTTAGGAGATGAACGCCCATCTAGCTTTAAAAGGCAACAAATCTAATAAATGGCCACATCATCATAATTCAACAGTGGAAAAAAATCAATGTTACAAATTTTGGAACTGCATCTCTCAGGAAAGTAAATTAAAACATCAATTCAAACCTATTCTAAAGAGTTTTTAACAGGAACATTGATGTCTTAACACAGACACTCTGAGATCAGTCCAGATAAACTAGGCCTTAGCCAGAAATGTGATGTATGGAGCAGTGTTCAGTGGGGCTGCCTTTGGAGCACAACAGGAAGCAAAAGTCTTTTAAGGGAGACTTTGCCTTTTGCTTTTCCCCTTCTCTAGAAAGGTCATGCCCTTCTCTGGTCTTATACCTTCAATAAGCTAACAGGTACATTACGCTGTGGGTCTCTGATGAAGATCTCTCGGTTAGATGGAAAATGCTTTCTTGCTCTCTCTGCAGTAATTCAATAAAGCCTCTGACATCACCCTGGGTACATTTCTGGTCCAAAACTACAGTCTTAGAATCTTTTTCCTTGTAACCAGGTCAGATGTAAATGTAGGCTGCAAAGTTGCAAGGTCTTGTATCATTGCACTCGGTGTGATTTTTTCCCCACGTATATCCAATGTTTTGTTCTCCCAGTTCATACATAGCCATCTCTCCTGCCTCAAACAAGACTCCTTTTCCTAACGATTAGGTGTTCCCATTTTACCTACCTTTCATATTATCATTCAACATTAAACAGAGATAACTTTGGCAGCCCAACAGAGTACAGTTTGTTGCTAAATATAAAGCCCCAGTACTGCTCCTTCATCTCTCACAGATGATTCTGCTGATTCTCTTGAATAAGGATTCAGATTCTGCTTAGAAGAGTGCTTCTTTGCCCATGTTTAAGCATGTTTTTATAAATTATCAGCCATAACAGGAAAAGCTGCAGCTATTAAGTACTAATGTTTTCCTGTTTATGAGAGACTGTTAAACCTTACTTTGCTGATATGACATAGCTTTTGCCAGGCACTTACCTATCAAATACTCCAGCCAGAACTGGTCTGTTCCTGGCTTGTAGGGTCGGTTGAAATCAATCTGGATGTGGAAAGCCTGTCCCCGCCGTACTATCAGCTTAGGGCTGTAGTACTTGTCGGTGTGGTGCTGTTGCTTGTTAATCTCATGGGATTCCTTGAACATATGAATATCCACAACATGCAGGTAATCTACAGAGACATACAAATAGAAAGGAAAAGAGTCAATGTGTTTGAATGTCAGTGTTGATATCACAGTCATTAGAGGCCCACTTATGCCCTTCCCCAGCACTATCTCATCCAGAAAAACACCCCTGAATGGACCATTTTGGGGTCTGTTGGGGCTTATACCCTCCTGGCTAGGCAGGGATTTATGGACTGAAACTTCTCTGTTCACCTGCCATTTTCTCAGAGGCTGTAAGGCATGCAGTGAATAGCGCAAGCAATTGCCAAAAGGGCAAGGACCTACAGGTAAAAAGCCAAATATTCCCTAGGAGAGGTGTGCTCCGTCTTTCCTTTGGCATCAGCCTTCTGCAAGTCCGAGCCTTGCTGTCACAAGTTCGCCAATAAAATCAGTGGATGTTTGACAGCTACGGCTTCATGTTTCCCTTCCTGCAGCTCTCCATTTGTAAAATGCAAAATGGTTTTGTGATGCTAAATACATTAACTTTTTTACAGCACAACTACTACCAAATGCTGAAAAGCCTGTGAGGCAGCTAATGATCTTGCATTCAACTGAGAGCTTAGACTGTTTGTATTAAATAAAGCTTTTGTATATTGTGTGTGTGTCTGTACACAACTTCTCAGTGCACCTCCACTGCTATTAGCGTCTTTTATAAACACTAAATATAACATTACAGTATGTAAGTACAGTATACAGTTACACGCAGATAGCAGTAAGTATCTATAACATGCATGGGCAAAGTACATGTCTCACCTCTTTCAAACGTGGGCTTCATAAAGGGTTATTGTCTACCACTGCTAGACGTTAGTCCATTCTGCTGAAGACCAGTACGGGATGGCATCATGATAGACAAAGGTACTTTCAGTCGCCACTAGCTAAATGACTATAACGTGCTGGGAACCTTCACGATTGGTGTCTTCTCATACAAATATTCCTTCCATGTGCACATGTAAGTAGTAGCCACTGGCTGCAGAGTGAGTTCCCACCAACACCCAGCAACCACATGAAAATAAATTAAACATCATTCTTTCTCATACATGCTTAGGCAGACAATCGTCAAAACTCTGCCTGTAGGGCCATTACTGCTCACCATGAGGAGAGAGACAGAAGAATAAAGCTTGATTTGCAGCTCTCAACTTGCATTTCCAGGTGCTGACAGTTAGAAACTAGCTAATTTCTGTATTTTATACCAAAGATTACAAAGCTAAACTCATGCCTGGTGAAAAGAGGTACATGTTTACAGCAGCTGGTGGAGCTCTGGGTACTCATGATGGAGGTTCTCAGTTGGATATTCAAGTCACTGAGGGCTAAACATGGCCCATTTCACAGAACTTCAGATAATAAACTTCGCCCATAGCTTTTCCATGAGGGCAGGAAGACACTGAATATAGCCAGGCTCAGGACAGGTAGCAAAGCCACTCCGTAGCTGGCATAAAGCCTCAAGGCTATAGCAGTGTGCAGACCAGCCCTGCCCTTCTGCAGAGATGTATACAGGACATCAGTGGAGTCGTGCAGACAGCAACCACCTGGACACCAAAACAGCCCTTCTCCTGCCCCAGCCAAGAGAGCCAGCCCTAGGCTTGGACAACAGCTAGTGGAAAGGCAGCAGGAGGAGATCCTTGTGCATTGTCACCATCTGCTGAGTGTCACCATCCTGCTGGAAACAGAACTAAAGAAACTGCTTGGGGATATGGTAAGATGAAGCTCCTTTTATGGAAAAGCCCTGTAGAACTGCACAGAGAACCACCAGCTCCCTGACAAACCTAGTCGGCAGAGAGGCTGGAATACCCCTTTCAATGCTGCAGCAGGCTTAAAGTCCTAGTGCATTGTTAGTGTTATTCTCTGCTCAATTCTTTTGGCTTCTGGAGTAAGTTCTGTAGATCCCTAGTGGCTTTAGTGCTGGCTGAAGTTAGGGAGATGGTTTTTGTGTGAAATATTAAATACATGTTGCTCATTAATCATGTTCTCGTTGCCTCTGCATGAGGTGGGGCACGTCTTCAACTCCCTCCCTCAAAAACTTACCAATGCTTTCTCACAATAATGCTGACAAAGCTCATAATTAAATTATGTGAGGTGGGAGTTTCCTGGAGAAGTGTAAAGTGTGTGTGCGGGGTGGCCCTCTTCTGTTGTCTCCCCTGCCTCTTCCCAGACTGAAAACACTCCAAGTCAAAGCTACATATCTTGGGCCTCTGCGAGGAGGGAAGCTATCAGCAAGTTAGGCACAGCTTCTCCCTCCTTGCAAGGGGACATAAAAAATTCATTTGAGGGGTTTGCCTTTTCATCTCGTGTTCTGAAACAACAGAAGATAGTGACCTAGCCCTTTGTTTCCAAAGTAAGCCCCTTCAAGGAACAGTCAAAGCTAAGCCACCCCAGTGTGTCAGTTCTGCATTTGCTTCATTTTATCTCAGGATTTTACAAAGCTCCCATGAAAACGCAGCCATGCACATCCACAGAAAAAAAGTCTCACTTTCATTATTAGTTTTAGAATGAACTACTGGGAGGTCACCAGGCAAAGATGACCTGTGAATGAGCCTGTGCTAATTATAGTAATGGTAATTACAGAGGGCAAAACATGAGCAGGGTAATTGCATGCTTTAACATCATCACCAGGGTATGACTCAAGGGAAGGCTCAGGGCGCTGCACATGACACTGCCTCTTTGTGTCTGTGAGGGATAGCTAGTCATTGAGGGCTGTCTTTGAAGGCAGGTCCACTTGATGGTTTACCCCAGAGTCTGGTCCGCCACTTAGCGCAAGCATGTTTGCTGCAAGAGAGGCAGTAGTCTGATGCTTTCTTAAAGCTTTTATCGTTTTAAACTTTCATGGAAACAAATGAGCACAAGTTTGAGATGTTTTGTCATTAAAAAGAATACCTTTCAAATATCAGTCTTTCTCGGAGGACCAGAAAGAAGGGGCTCTGGATTGCCAACCAAATAGTAGGAGTTTCCAAGGGAGGTGCCCATCACTCTATTGGCAGGAGAAGCACAACTCCCTGGTGAGAACTTTGCAAAGGAAGGTGTGTGGGGAGTTTGCAGGACCATGTGGCCACAAGGCTAAGAGTCACTCACCAAGCGGCAGTAGGTGTCAAGCCCACTCATAACATGTTCTGGCTAAGAAGAGCCAGGGAGAGGACATAGAGCAGGCATGTTCACAGAGACACAGGCTTCCTGTTAAAGCAACACTCAGCTACACGTTCTCCTCGCTAAACTCTTCCTCCCTCAAATAAGCAGAGCTCACGTAGCAAACAAGGGAAGTGGCAAGCAGCCCACCAGCCAGGGGCTTGGGAAGCAGACGGCCCCAGCAGCCCTCAGCAAGTCACTCCGGGTGTGATTCAGCTGAGGCGAAGTGGGTGTCAGCAGAGAGCTAGTCAAGCACACAGTTTACCTCATCCTAGAGTAGTAGCTAAAATAGGTCAAATGAATCACACCCTAAAAATGCCTGTTTCTCTCTGTTGGCTGTCAAGGGAAATGAGGATGACTAGCTCAGCTGTAGACACCTACACAGTACAGATCAAGGGCAGGATTCAGCCCAAGACTGAGTCCTTTAAATTTAGGCATCTAAATGATGTGAATCTGATATGTAACCTCTTATTATAGCCAGTGAGATCTAGTTGATGCAGTCAGTGGAGCTGAGAGAAACGTACAGATCACCCTGAAAGAGACACCCACTGCCTGCCCAAACCATGCCCTCACCTCCACCGACTACCTGGGTCTGTGCTGACTATGATCTGATGCAAGTGCAGGCACCTACACTTAGGTGCTTATAGCAGGTGTTTGACTTCTACCCCAAAGGTTAGCAAACGTCTCAGCATAAAAGCAGGGCTAAAAGCATTTGACTGCTTTTTTCATGCTGTGGAAATGAAATCCAGGAGGCATTGCAAAAGACTTAGGTGACAGAGAAGTGTAGAGGTGTGCAGGGGAAGGGGAGGGAGAGCAGCACAAGCAGTCCTTGGCAAGAGTGCGCTCACCGTGCTAGAGCCCTGCCATCCGCTGCCTCTTCTGCTCTGCCTGTGGACTCTTACTTCGTCTCTTAAGCACAACACTGCATGTGCTATGGGCAGGCTCCGCTCCCGAACGTAAGTCCCAGTCTGAGCCGTGTGTAGAAAGCTTCAAGCCAGAAACCTTAATGTGCTTTGGCAGATGGCTTAAAATCCTAAACCAAAACTGTGTGTCCAGGGACCACACTTAATTTCAGCTGATGTCACAGTCTTAGATTGCAGCTGATGTGCACTGAAACAGGAAAGCTGCTGTAGTTCCCTCCCTTCCTTTCCCTTCTCTTCCCTGCTCCTTCCCTTCCCAGCTCTCTCCCCGCTCCATGTTACCACTTGCATGTTTGTGCCACAAACACTGCGTAGTTGAACTAGATAGCAGAGATGATCCAGCTGTATAATAACGGCCTTGCTGTTGCGCACAAATTTGTTTTTCCACCATATCAGCTCCATTACCAGGTTTATCTTATGGCCACACAAACTCTTGCACTGGGCTGGCTATTTTTCTCACAAGCAGCATCACCTTAAGCGCATGTCAAGCTCCTGCCTTAACTCACTTGACCTAACATTCCTAAGTTGCTACTGGATTTCTGAAAAGCATGAAACTCCTGCCCACCAGCATCACGCTTCGTTCAGAGCCTGGTATGAAGCACTTTAAAAAAGCAGTAGGAATTTTGCTTCTGGTACTGATAGGCTTTAGCTACAGACTGCATTCCTTCCAAGATATCCCACCTCCTTACCCATCTTCATCTTCTATGAGCATACTGGGTTTGAAATGATATCTAGACAGGACCTGTACTACATTATATTCAACAATTTAAACATATACTTGCCCCAAAGCTACAGAGTTGTTTGAAAAGGTACAAGTGAAGTTTCTACAGCCTTAACATGCCAGTTGGTTTGCTAAGGTATTTTCTAAAGAACTGTTTTTTAGAGAGATGGCGTGTGCATTAAAATGGGATGGCATGTGCTTAAGGTGCATGATTAAGATTACAGAAATAATGGTTTCCAATAAAACTTTAAGTCTGTCACTTAATTCTCTTTGCCTGTTTGCCAGTGTATAAAACTCTGTAATTCATGCTTGTGCACATTTATTAAGCATTCTTTGAACCCAGGATGAAAAGTCCCATATGAGCACTAAGTACTGTTACATCTGGCTGCCCCGAGTTGCCACGTTCAACGAGTTGTGCTATTAACTTCAAATAGGCTAAAAAATTAACATTATTTGGTTGGTGACTTATTCACAGGCTTATCATGATTTCTTCTAATCCAACTTTTATCTATTATTTTCACGTTCCCTCCAAAGAGCTGGTATTGAGAATGTGGGCTGATTTGCCCTGTCCCTTACATGATACTGTTCTGTCTCCCCAACCAAATGATTGAAACACTTTTCACAAAAGAATGATGAAAAATATGGGTGTTCATCTTAGTTTCTCAGTCATTTTCCAGAGTGAGCTGATCATCTAGCGATGGTTTTCCCTGCCCACCACCGTCTGCAGCCGCTTTGCAGTGAGTTTAGGCTACACACACCAGAAGGGCCATTAAAGGAGAGGCTCCTCCTTCTCCCTTTACCCCAGTGCTGCCACAGGCACTCCTGAACCAGGCTGACCTAGAAGCAGACCCTAATAAAATCAGTCTTTTATTCTGCTGTTTTCCTGGACTGTTTTTAACCCACACGAGTGCCCTGACCTGCTTAACTACCAGCTACATGGATGTTTGTGGGTGTAAAAGGAAAGGGGCCAGTACAGAGCTGGGAAAAAGTGGCCAGTGGCAGGACCACCTCTCCTGGTGGCAGTGACAGATTAGGATGACTTTGACTAGTTGTGAAACTATATCCCTCTTTCTATATTCTCCCATCCCAGAGGTTTGATGACCAGCATTACCGATTCTGCAAAGCAGAGCCTTCACCCAACCTGGCCCTGAACCAGTCACCTTCAATTTAAAACACTTGAGGAATTCATCCTAAAGTGACCCTATGATTGTAATAAAATTACAATTACTCCCAAACTACTCCCAAAGTTCAAGCTGAGAACTGGTCACTCAACTTCCCTACCCCTCGCTTTCC